TTCATGTGGGTGAATGTTAAAATTGACTTATGATAAACCTGCATGATATGATACTAAATAAGTTGACTATGTGGTTAAAACATCTTACTTCTTTTCTAGAAATTAAAAATTTAATTCATCCGCACATTTGTTGTACTAAAAAAATAATAATAAGTTGGAAAATTTGTATAAAAGGAACTCTACTCAGAAGGAAATTTTTTTTGAAAATTTTGTCAAATTCTTAGAATTTCAGAGAACGAATTAAAAAAATTCTTCTCTTCTAAATTTCTACAAACTCACTAAATATCATGTCATGCAAGTTTATATAAGCAAATTTTAACCTTCATGTAATTCAAAAAATGTTAAAACTTAAGGAACTAAATTGTCTCTCGGGGATGACACAGTGGCAAGCGTTTGGACAATAAAGAAGAAAAAGACTTAAGAACTAAATTAAAACTTTTAAACAATAGAAGTTAAATTAAAAAACCACTCAAACATTAGGGACTAAAACCCATGTTTAGTCCTAGACATTATTTTGATAGATGATATCATGACTTTTTTTAAGCATAGGATGACATCATAAGTTTGAATATGTGTATTGACTTACTCATTGAGCATATGTTTACCTAAGTTTGTTGAAATAGGTATTGTCGTATTGCGTATTGCATAGAGCAGATAATAGGACATAGCGGTATCAAACATGTTTCCAATTCTAATTACATATATATTTTGTCCATTATGGTTCAGAATAGGGTATCACATCAATGCCACGTACATATTATCTCTTAGCCCAAGCTTGACCAAGATACACTAATCTAGCACCATACTGGTGCTCTGCTAAATGCACTTTGATGTTTAAGTTAGTATTTAAAATAAGAGCAAATGCATATGAAGCACGTAATGTAATCACAAGAATCTCAATGAATATTTGCATAACTGGTTGTGCCTCCCAGATCGCAAAGGTGCGCTTGGTCCATTAATTCAGCATGCTCGACTTTGGATCTGATGTGCTTGGTCTTACTCAGGTAATCGCTCACGTRGCCGATTCCAACTTAGGCTCAGGCACGTATCTTCTCAAATTATTTATACAGAGAAGAAAAAGAAATTCTCAGAAGACATTAAAAGAGTCAAAATGATGAGCATTGGAATCAAAATAAAAGGTCCAAGTTAGCTGATCAAGTGGAGATGATGAGGGTGACAATGGCCAAAAAGATTGACCAACTCTGTTGACATGTGAAGTGATCAATCAATGGTTTATTATTATCCAGTAGCTTTTTACCAACCTTTTATTCTATTAAGTAAATGTTTTATCAATGAAACTATTTGTCAAACTATCATGATTGTTAATATCACCTATTTTCTTCATTTTCAACTTAAGGAAAAAAACAAAAACCTTCAAATGAATTGAAATTGTCAAAAATGGAACCAACGCAAAATAGAAATCATCATTATTGTTTCATATTCTTTGTTTTTTTTTTWWTWA